GCAGTCAAAATTTGAAGAAAAATATGCAAAGATAATTACATAACTATTAAACAAGTTACGAGTCAAATGCTTTCAATTTAGTGCATCAAGCATTTTGCCAGTAAAATGAAATAAAATTACAAAAAAATGTAGTTTATCTATACGTTCATAACAACTGTATACAATTCTATGTTAAACAATATCCATTAAAATACTGTAATTTGATTTACAAGTTAATAAAAGTGCATTGTATGTTTGCTGTCTATCGTTAAAAAATATAAACGTATTATAAATTATATAAAGTATTTACTGTCTGTACTACTTAGCCCACCCTCTCTCAGCTAGTCGCACACACTTACTCTTTATTACAAAAACTGTAGTATAACTGACCTTGCCTGCTTAACTTGCACAAACCATCTCCATTTTTTGTTTTTATATCTGCCACCACACTTTTACTGTTTTCACTGTCACATTACATTTAACTCCCTTATTAGGCTTTTTATTTTGTACTTTTGGCACATAGATCAAATAGAAAAAAATGCACCTCTATTACAGTGGACTTATGCGTTTACCAATTTTTACTCTAAATAAATATATGTATGTAATGAACAGCAATTTTCGAAGTGAATGCGTAGAGCAGCGACACTGAATATAGCAGATATAGAGTGGAGTGGTTGACATATTATTGCATTCTTCTTTACTTTTACCATTAAGTTCTTGTAATTACTTATGTAGTCTTCTTTTGTCGACCCCTCGAGGTGGATTCCAGTGCGTGGCGACCCGTGAAGGGGAGGAGAGGATCCTGGTGGTTGAGGGGTGTTATTGATGGGTTCTTTATCTCCGTGGCACTTTAACACACCATTTTTGCCTTGAATTCCTGTAGACGGGTAGCCATGGGGTGACACCCCAGAATAAATCGGCTGGTCCTTTTAGGCTAGAGTCAACCAAGTACCAGTGTTGGACGTTCTCAACAGGCGTTGTGCACATTGTCTCTTATACTGATATTTGGGTATAGTGCCCACGAAACCCTGGCGTCTCTACAATGCTCTGCTCTAGCAATGTAGTACGTCGCATTGTTGGACTCCATGGTGGGTGGGGTCAGTGGGCACTGAAGTTTCTTTATTTTGCATAAATTCTGCACACAGTGACCCCCCCCAAAAAAACACGTTGATATGAAAACGACCACGTTTGTAAGACTCTGAACAGCAGTCTCCACCCCATTCTGCACCTGTACCTCGTTTTTTTCATCATGCATTCTTTAACAGACAAACCTTTCGTGCAATTGTCTCACCTATTTTATTCAGAAGGAATTAAAGAGGCTTGCTGGCTCTCCAGGGTCAGTGAAGAAACTACGTTCTGGAGACATCTTGGTGAAAACATCTACACAAAAACACAGAGAACTACTCCTGAATTCAAAGGCCATTGGGAATATACCTATTTAGGTTATTCCACATGCTACTTTGAGTTCCTCTCGAGGAGTGATTGTTAAGAGGGATTTAAGAAACATCCCTGAGTCGGAGACACTCGCTGGTATCTTCAGCCAAAGAGTTTCTGCAGTGCGACTATCTCCATACATAAGGATGAAATTATGCTGACTACCAATGTTCTTGTTTGACGATTACATCGTCACGTCCGCCTGCCACTGTCAAGGCAGGTTATCTGAACTTTAAAGTACGGCATTATATTCCTAACATTCTCAAGTGTTTCAATGTCAGTGGTTTGGACATTCTAAGGCATCTTGTCGTTGTTCTTAGACGTGTGCTCGTTGTGGTGGTAAAGACCATGACGCCCTTACTGCGTCAACTGTGGTGGTTCATGACCCTCTTACAGTCGATCTTACCCTTAGAGGGTGGAGGAAAAAGAGGTAACGTTTGCGTACTGAAAACAACATTTCTTACCCTGAGGCTCGGAAGTTGTTGTCTTCTGCTTCATCTCGGACATATTCTGCTGCTCTTCGTTCCACTGCTACAGTGGGAGTGCAGACAGATCTTACTGTGCTTCCAACAGTCTTTTTCATGCCATGTGAAGAGTCTTTTGCCCTCCATAGTTGCATGAGTTGACAAGTCTATGTCTACTCCTATCTCTGTCCCCACTATTCCTTCCAGTGACTGCTCGGATCCATTTCCTTCGGCCCCAAGGTGTAGAACCATTATTCGGTCACACCCTCAGTCACTGGAATCTCCTTCTTTTGACAGAGATCTGCTTTCTCGACCCAGAACAGGTTCCATGGAGGCCGACGGATCTATTTCTACTAAAGAAAAATGTCTTATGCGTTATATATGGATAACCAAAAGTTGGTGCCGTAACTGACGGTATATGTAATTTATTAAAGGGCAAGGGTCTGTTGTTTTCTTTCTTAGGACATAAACTGAAATTCCCACTACTAGTACATGTACTAATGAAACTGAATGTCTTCTTTCATCATATAAGGTTATAATTTGTTACTTTTATAAAGGTAGTTTACTTAATAACCATTTGAGATGCTAGCTACACAGTCGGTTTTGTGTTTTAGAATACACAGCGTGGTCACAAGTAAATAGACACCACCTTTTCAGCGAAAATGAAATTTTTCAGTCATATTCACATGAATTGATATATTTATAATTCAATTAATATCTAGTAGATCTTCCTTTCGCTTCGTGGAGTTTGTTGAGAATCATCTCGTCAATTTTAGATTGTGGGATTTTCGCCCACTCTTGCTTTAAAACTTGGAGTAGATCGCTCTTCGAAGTTGGATTTTTTGCTTGTTTCTTGACTTGCCGGTCGAGTATGGCCCAGAGGTTTTCGATGGAGTTCATGTCAGGAGATTGGCTCGGCCATGGTAACTTCTGGATACCATTTTCTTCCTGCCACTTTTGGGTGTTTCTAGCAGTGTGATACGGTGCTCCATCTTCCTGGAACAACGTTGTGTTCTTGTCCACGAAACCCGAGGAATAAAGTGGCAAGAGTCTTTCCTCCAACATTTCGACGTATTTCGCAAAATTTATGTTGCCAATGCACTCCACTAAGCTCGATCTCCCACCAACCCAAACAGCTCTCCAAACCATCATGCTGAAACCACCATGCTTCACAGTTGGTTGCAATCTGTTGCGCCAAATCTCTTGGTGAGGCATTCTTCAGACCCATATCCTTCCACTATCCGAAAAATTGAGCGAATCTTGATTCGTCTGAGAACAATACGGTCTTCCAAAAGTCCAGAGGCTTGGCCATCATATCACTTGCCCACTTCTTTCGTCTGACTATGTTGGCAGGTCTTAATAAGTGCTTCCGTCTAGCTGCTCTGCAACGATAACCCAATTTGTGGAGAATCCGTTGAACAGATTTCTGGCTCATCCCACCAACTTTGGCCACTTCTGCAGTTGTTAATCTGAGATCAATTTCGATGCTCCTCTT